TTTGGTAAAAAATTATTTTTAATTACTGTATATGAACTACTATAAAAGTAAAAAATACCTTTTTTTATAAAAAAAAAAATATTTTAAACGAAAACGCCATACGGGTTCAATAGTACTTCATAAAATATAAAAATGTTAGTCATTTTAACATGAGTGTACACATTAGAGCTCTAGATACCCGGGTATCGAGCAATGCGAGTAGCTCGATACTCGCTCGAAACTCGTTCATTGCTCAACTGCTCAAATGTTTGTTCAAAATTTTCGAGTTTTTGAACAATTTCATAAACAAAAGAAAATTTGTAAATTGTATTTGTCAGCAGCTGCTTTCTATTTCATATTAAATAAATTCTATTATTAAATACCAATGTAACAATCTTTGCATTATATATCAATAATTTGAAAAATTTAAAAAGTTCCTACCAAAAATGTCAATATAATAAAAAAAAACATTGCTCAAATTACTCGAAAAAACTCGAATTTCTCGAGCTCATGCTCGAAAATTTTCGAGTAATGAGCAATGAACAAGTGTGCGAGTACTCGCTGGTCATATACCCGGGCTGTTTTAAAATGTGCGAACAAAATCGAGAGCTCTAGTACACATCATCGTACACAGGAGCCAACAAACTATTTTATATTTATGACTTTTTTGAATAGCAATAATGAGATCATTCCCATTTGCAGTATTTAAATAGTCAAAGAATTCTATACATTTCATTTTAAAATTTCTTTTAATTTGAAGTTCACTTTCAAAAATTTTAATTAGAAGCCGGGTTCTCTCTTAGCGCCAGGAAACAAACTTTATTCTTAAGATCCTCTCATGCTGTAAAAAAGTACCACTTTTTAAAGAGTTCATCTATATTTCCCCATGGCTTAAATAATTTTTCAACTACGCAAAAACTGTGAAAGACTAAGAATTCGCTAAGAGTAGTAAGTATCTAATTCTAGGGCTTGTATGCAAAACTCTTTACAGAGTCAGTAAATTGAGAAAAAGGAGTTGCGGATTATAGGCAAAAGCCACTCGAATATTGAAATTTATTGTTATTAAACTGAAAGTTATTTTCGAGATAATTAACAACACTTGAGAAAAATTTAATCCTTCTTTTTAAATAATTTAAGCTCCATCATATTATCGCAACTGGTACGTAATGACCCGGCGATATGCCCATAAAACGATTGATCCTTTTGTTGTATTAATTTCTTGGGCATATCAAACATTATCTAAAACATGTCAATTATAATTGAATTATTTTCTTCTTATTTTTTACAGTACAGTTTAAGGAAGTTCCAACGTTACGTAAAAACCTTAAGAAAATACTAAAGTATTTTGTTTGAATAGAAAATTCAGTACAAATCAGTACAAATTTTGAAAAATCGGGACATTAGCGTACTGATTGAAGAAATGAATAAAACCAGTACAAGAGTTGAAAAATCAGTACTGTATTGATAAAATCAGTACGTCTGGCACGTACCAAATGTCTACAAGAAAAAAAAAATATTCAAAATCAACGCGATTCTTTAGCAACTTATAACTTGCACATTATTACCCTGGAATTTAATGGGCTATTAAGCTGAATACTCAAAAAAATTCTTAAAACTCTGAATAAAAACGTGAAAATCTAGCTGAAACTTTGCAGATTTTTTTATAATTTTTGCACAAAGTTTGAAATGTGGATTTATATTTAGTTGGTTATATAATGAGCCAAGCTTTCATGGAAAAATAATAAACATTAATTAAACAAAAGAAAAACAGCCACAATCGATCAAAATATTGATGACTGAATCAGCTGATCACAAGTGTATGTACAAAATGATTTTTATATTAACGATCTCAAACCAGTTTACAATGAATTGTAAATGTGCTCTGTCGAAATGACATTTTAATATACCTTACATACATACTTAGGTACCATTGTATACAACAGAGGTTCCCAAACCTTTTTTCTCGTAGACCCCTTTCAAAAATTTACTGGTTTCGGTGGACCCCCTGCTGATACATTTCTAAATATTCCCAAAGCTCGTAGATTTAACAATGTAAATTTGAATTCCGGGTGAATTCAAAAACTAAACTCAGAGTGGCCAAAATATAAGTAAAATATTCTCGGAAGAGTTATATTTTTTAAGAGCACTGCGAGCGCTAGCGTTATTTACATTATCTTCTCCATAAACTCATCAAATGTTTGGCTCACTGATGACTTTGCACGTGGAGTATATGTAAAATAGTTTATTTGTGTTAATGGCATAATTTTTATTTTTATCGCTCCGAGTTTTAAAGTGAGGCGAAAAATAGTTATCACACTTTTAAAACACAAAACTTAAAACATCAAAACGGTTAAGCTTTTTGCGCCAAACTTTTAATTCAGAAACTGACAATAGAGAAAAGAACGAGTTTAAAAAAATCGATGACAAATAACCAAGCCAGCAAGAAGCACAAAAATTGTTCCACCGTGTCATCTTCCTCAAGGCAATATGGGTAAATGGACTTGTCATTTACGCCCAGCGTTGCCACAGACACATTTTTTTCCTACCAAAACCTACCATAACCAACCAAAACCTACCAAACATTTTTTTTTCAGTTTTAATATTTTTTTCAATGTCAAATTTATTAAAAACATAGCCAACATAACATTTAGTAAAACTAAAACACCGCTAGTACAATAAAAACAAATTAGCTGCGTATAACGATTCATTTTCTGTACATACATATATATCGTCATTAGATACGAATAAAGACGCGAGCTCAAAAGTAGACAGCGAAAAAAGACGCGTAAAAAAATTTCGGCGAAGAAGAACACTTAACATAGGCGAGGGTAAAGAAAGACGCGTTAACCTCTTTGATGGGGAAGAAAGATAAAGAAGACATATTTTCGCGGTCAACTATGTTTGCGAGTATACGAATTCCCCAAAGAGTTTTTGCGGAATGATGTTGAATCCATGTTTACGCGTCTTTTTTCGCAAATTTTTTTCACGCATCCTTTTTCAAAACACCCGAGCGTCTTTATTCGCGTCAAGTGACTATATTATTATTATTACATCGGAGATACCCGCGTTGCGACCTAAGAAGATATATTGTGCTAAATCCTAATTGTAAGCGCTCCAATATCAGGCTATTTAAAAAGCTCAGCACTTTGGATGATGCCATGTTCCAAATTTTAGATGGAGAAGACAAGCCTTCCCCAAGGTGCATCAATCTACTATTCATGCTTCGTGGACAGGCACATAGAATATACTCTGGGGTTTCCTTCACCGGCCCACAAAACTTACAGTCAGTCTCTACAGAAAGACCTTTTAATTCAATCGCTACGTTAACTTGCAGTGTGCTGTTCGGAGTTCCTCCTGAAAAGTTATGAATCTCTTTGATTGTCTTATTCGCTTCGACTTCCGCCAGTGTGCAGCAATTCCCAGCTAGCTTCTAAGTAGGTCTGCAGTGTATCCCTGTAGATGTACCGCAAAAAGGGTCGGAGCTATGCAAACGCATTTGGGCTCCACTCTTTGCAAGACAGTCAGCCCTTTCGTTGCCTTCAAACCCTTCATGCCCCTGAACCCTCCACAGCGGTACGCTATTGTGGGCTCCCAGGTGGTTCAAGAGTTCACAAGCCTTGATGCCGGTTTAAAAGACTCTAAGGCTTCTAACGCTGCCTGAATATCTGACATAATACTTATTCTGGCCTCATTTGCCTTCTACGATAAAATTCGCGAACACAGACTTCGATTGCGAAGACCTCCGCCCAGAATATGGTTGGGTACAAGCCCATTGGCAGACTTTCCTGGAATCTTGGTCAAAGTACGCCATAAAGTATATATGGATGTTCATATTGTATATTGGCAATAATAAGGATTCACGTTTGTACTGAGGAATCATGTTTGCAGCCGCCGTTATACGAACGCACCGGTGAAATATTCATGTAAAAAAAAATTGCTAAAATGTTTAGAGATACATATTTTCTATTTTTCTCCAATAACTATTACTCGTAGTCCCGAAACCTACCAAAATCCAATCAAGCCTACCAACCTACCAAATGGAAAAAAAAACCTACCAGTTTGGGTAGGAAAAGCCCATGTTTGGCAACACTGTTTACGCCTATCACAGTCAGGTGTTTGTGCAACGTGAAGTGAGCAGACAGCAGTCCAGCAAGTTGTCTGCAGTGTCGTCTGCTCAGTGAGAGCAAAAAATTAGATAGACCTTGTGAGATTGAAGGGAACATAAGTTTTGCCCACCTGCATCCCCTCGATGCCTCTCAGTAATTTCTGAGCGAAGTATTCACCCAGATTCTGATGGTGGCTTCGATTGCCGAAGGTGGGAGTACTAAAACTGGTTGTGGACCGAGGAATACATGGTCTGAGCCAACTCTGGCCAAATGATCAGATGTCTTATAACCAGGTGCTCCAGAGTGACCTGTCACCCAGAGTAAAACAACCTCGTTATGTTCACCATCATATTTTAGTCGAGACTTGCATTGCCGAACTAGTTTGGAAGTACTTAAATAGAGGAAGTACTTAAATTAAGTGCAGCTTGGTTGTCACTACAGTCACGTAAACTCCTTCCCTCCACATATGTTCCATCACGTAGTCCATGGCTTTGAGTATTGCAATTTCCTCAGCCTGAAAGACTGAAGCCTATTCCCCCACAGAAAAGTGAAGCTTATCTCCATTAACCTCGAAAAAGACACCAGATCATGACCCAGAGTCAGTTTTTGAGCCTTCAGTGAAGATTCGACAATGTGTGAGTCCGGTCTCAGCGATGGAATCAAACCAGCGTTTACTGGCGTACTATCCTGTAGCATTGAAAAGACACAAGTGCTTAAATCTCTGCCGCCAGCAATTTTCGTCGCGCCTCACTCAATGGTATACAATAATAGTTTAATAAGAACAATTCTTTGTGTATGCATTTGAAAAGGACGTTTTTGGGTAGAAAATGACGTTTTTTTAGACCAAGAGGGACGTTTTCTGATGCCGAATAACCTGGCAACACTGGTGGAGCTTCAAGCAGCACCAAAATCTCCTTATTTATAAGAAACAGGTTTGCGATGTTTAGCATTGAATCTAGTTTTCCTTTTCTGGCGAGCTTCTTCAATGTTTTTCACGGCCTCGCTGCGTTGACCATTCATATGCAACTCCTCGTTGTCGTGAAGTGCCGCAAAGAGCTTATTTCCACTCAAATCACGTAGAGGGAAATCGTAAACAAGATCTATTGGAGCGAACTTCGTTGTAGCGTTGATCTTTGTATTCATTGTCCACTGAAGCATGCGGACATGGGTATCCCAATCTTTAGGATCATTCGTAGATGGTTTCAAGTACGCCAACAGGGCTTGGTTAACGCCTTCCGCTAAGCCATTTGAGCGAGGAGTGCACATTGCTACCTTCACATGTTGAATGTTAAGACACTCAGTAAATGTTTCGAACGCTGATGAAGTGAATGCTCACCCTCGATCGGTAACAATTCGTTGCGGTAGTCCAAAGTAAAGCGTTAACTGATTTATAGCATCGACGACTGGCTTTGTATTCGTTGACCTGGTGGCAACTATGATGCAGTATCTCGTGAAAGCATCACCAGAACTTATTCGTAACCACGACGGCTTTTCGGGAACGGCCCCAGGTGATCAAGGTGCAGTGTATGGAACGGTAAGGGCGGAGTGTCCATCCCATACAATTCACATTGCCTTCGTAATGATTGCCGGTGATAGCAACACTCTAAGCAAGATCCGATATAACCCTTCACAAAGTTTCTCAAACGTGAAAACCAGAGATGTTGCAGTACTCGCTTAATGGTTCCATCCAATCCGGGATGTCCTACATCGTCATGACAAAACCTGACAACTCGCCATCGCATCCCTTTGGCACGACCAAAAGTAACTGACCGTTTTCACCCTTCCAGAACAGTCGGTGATCCTTCAATGCATACTCAGCGTCGATTTTGTTCCGTTGATATGAATGATCTGAGCCTTGCAGCAGATCCACTATGTTTTTAAGTTTCTCATCTTGCCTCTGCATCGTAAAAACCCAATCGCATACTGATACCGACAACACCTTACATGCAACATCCTCTACTATCGGTGTTCCCTCGACTGGCGCACGACTCGTTGCGTCGATATGAGCCATTGACACCCCAGCTCGGTGCATAAACGCAAAATCATATTCTAAAAGCTTTAGAAACCACCGCGCCACTCTGGGCACCATAGGCTTGGCCATTTCAGCGGTTGTCATCGAGTGACAGGCAGTGACGATGGTGAACCTCTTACCCAACAGGAACATCCTAAACCGTTCGCACGCTTCAACCACCGCCAAAACCTCTATACGAATGATAGTTCCTTTCTTGCGGCGTACACGCTCGACTAAAATAGGCAACCGGTTTTAACCCGTTCCCATCCTCCTTCATCAGCTCAATGCGTACAAACGCACGGAAAAATCCGGCTAAACCTAAAAAACGTTTAACTTCCAGCTGAGTACTCGGCTTCGGATACCCCTTTATTGCTTCGGTTTTTCGACCCCCTGGCGATATGCCATCTGCACCTACCTCATGCCATAAGAAGGTAACCTGACTTCTCATAAACGTGCATTTCGAAATTCTCAAAGTTAACCCCTCGTCACGAATAATTTTCAAAAACTCTTCGAGATAGTACAAATTTTCTTCTACGGTATGCGTCGCTATTATTACCTTATCTACATAGCTCACAAGAAATTTACTTAACGAGGCGACTGATTGCGTCATCATACGCTGAAAAGTGCACGGAGCGTTACGCAACCCAAATGGCATTCTGTTAAATTCAAAATGTCCATTGTGAGTTACAAACGCTGTCAACGGTTTAGCCTCCTCACTTAACTCGATTTGATAATAACCCGACACAAGATCTAAAGTGGTGAAAAACCATTTCCCCGAAAGCGTAGCTAACACTCCATGCACTGAAGGGAACAACCATGGTTACTTTTCTGTAAAAGCGTTGAGCTCGCGGAAGTCAACACATAACCTGTCTTCTCCATTCTGTTTGCGCACCAACACAATGGGTGATGCGTACAGTGAATCCAACTTTCGTATTATTGCCAATTGTAGAAGCTCATCAACTATCTCCTCCACAATGCGTCGCTTCGGGATAGGTATATTATACGGATTATTTGCAATTGGTATACAGGAAGTGACCTTTGTTTCCATTTTAAATCGCTTTGATTTACTCAGGAAGCTTTTCCCCAAAACAATATGAGTAAGAATTAATCAAATCAAGAAGACCCTCTTGGACGCTTAGCGGTAGATTATTTCCCATGTGCAGCGCTTCGTCACCAATCCTCATTATCTTAAACGAATTACCCTCAATAATAACCTTGCCTTTAGATACCAAATCGATTCCTACAGTTGCTTCGTATGCCATTGCTGCATCTTCCACGACTAACATTTCAACGAATCTGGTGACTTCATCAATCCTAATTAATTGTTATTAACTTTTCACTACAAACGGTTTCCCCACTCGCAAATCCAAACAACTTCTCCTCGCAAGCAACAAAACTTTCCCCAATTCGTAATGCAATTGATCGTTTGATCAACGACCTGCAACTGCCAGCATCAATAAGCGCATTACACTGTATTTCTTTCTCTCTCTTTGCACACACTTCGCGTAGAAACTTTGTTCACTAGTGTGTTAGCTTCCTCTACTTCCCCCTCAGACTCATTGCTAATTTGATTTGTTATTTCACGTTGCTTAAATTCAGTTATTTTACGTGGCTTACCTCAATTCCTCGAAATGTGCCCCCTTTCTTTGAAGCAAATAGGACCAGTTGCATTATGTTTTACATCATTCATGTTGCTATTTTGCACCACTGGTCTTTCAACTTTCTTTAAAAATTCATTTTGTTTACATTGACTCGCATTGTTCGTGTGTATATTAATCAACTTCTGCAACAAATCAGCACATTTCGAGAAATGCATTGCTCTCAACGTTTTGCGCAATCGCTCATCATTCAAACCATGTATTACATACCTAATTATCGCACAATCTTCAATGAACTCTCTTCGCCCCATCGCTAATATTTTATAGTAAAATTCGACAACACTCTCCCCTTTAAAGGACACTCAAACAGACGCGGTATTGGAAGTGCGGTACAAGGCGGTACACAGTATAGTTATGTACCGCCTTGTACCGCACTTCCAATACCACGTCTGTTTGAGTGTCCCTTTACCCATCTTAGTATTCATCAAATGAAAGCATCAGCAGAATTTCTAACGTAAGGGAAATCTGTTAAAAAATTACTTACAAATTCACTCCATTTTTTAAACACTGGCTGCGCATCTGCCCACTGTTTAGCAACACCTTTAAGTTGACTGAGGACAGCGAAAGTGAGCAGAGTATCCTCCCAATGATACAAATTTCTCAGCTGCTCAATTCTTTCTATAAACTGAATTGACGAGTATACATTGTCACATGAATTAAACTCTGGCAATACTGCTGCTATTTCACCCGGTGTGTATCTTGCTCTCACGTACATTGTCTCTTGCAACGACACTGGATGAACGCTTGTTGTGAAATCATTCGGCTGCGACCCGAACACTTTCCTCTGCAGAAAGTCAGAATGGCGTAAGTTGCACGTTTTTACTGGTTTTGCGTTCAATAATTTTTCTCATATTTTAGTCTTCCCCTCAATTTTACCTGCAATTATTATTTTATTCTCTGGCTGCTAGTACTTACTGGAAAATTTTATGAATAGACCTATAATGACAGCAACTTCTTTTTTTGATTTTAGTAAGTTAAGAGTTTCGTTTTTAATAAACACCACGTGTTTACTTAAATATGGTACAAAAATAAGACAATATTTTTGTGCACAAAAGTTCAAAACTCCAAGTAAATAGAGTGTGGTATTTCGACATAATTGTGCTGCAGTACCGTATCTTGACAAAAATGTATCAAAAATGTGAATGTAGTACCAATGTACTTTTGGCTTCCAAAATGTACCAAAAAAGTACAATTGTACCATCAATTTCATCACTGTTCTACATTGCTCGGTGATGACGTGGCATTCATTTGAGTTGTCTGCTGCTGCGTATAACATGCTAGCCTAATATTCACGCACGCTGCCAATTTACTGTCAAAAATTTCTCACGCATATACAACTTGTATGGGGCCAACCGAAATTGAACGGCGTGCGTATGAAGCTAACTCAATTTCCAGTTTTTGTTCTGCGTGACATTTTGATTTGACGTTTTGCTCAATGGAATCAAATGCAAACGCACGCATTCCCATTTCGAGTGACGCAAAAAAAACGAACTCGACGGCGTGCGTACCAAAACGCAAGCCCCGAATATTAGGTTAGCCTAATGTGACCAACCGTGCTTCTTTCGGAAGTACAGTACTTCTTTTTTCGCTCTTGTACTTCGTACTTCGAAGTACAGTCAAATGTACTTCTTTGCGATATTTTGTACTTCAGGAGGGGGATTCTGTAACCAGTTAGTTTAAATTTTCGGATCGTTATCGCACTTTTTGACGCATTATATAAATGTTTTTGCTTCAAAAAGTGCGATAGCGATTCGAAAATTGTCGCTAACTGGTTACAGAATCTCCACCCAGGTCCTGTACTTCTCCGATCTTTTGGACGATCATCACATGGCCTGGGCGATAAATTCGTTCAAACCATTAAAGTCGCCGGGGACCGATGGCATCATACCTGCGCAGCTGCAAAAGGCTCTAAAGGTGTCATGCAATTGGTTGGATCCTATTTATGCGAAATGCGTGAGGACCGGGTACATCCCAAAGGCTTGGAGGGTAGTCAGTGTTGCGTTCATCCCGAAGGCCGGAAAGGGCTCTCATGTTTCCCCTGAGGATTTGAGGCCTACCAGTCTCTTCGCTTTTGCTACACACACTTTTGCTAAAAACGCTAGAGTCTGATAGACATAAGAAAGGCGATTCCTCGTGACTGTCTTTCAAGAGCTCAATATGGTTATTGCAAGAAAAGGTCGGTGAAGACCGCCTTGCACACATTGGTAAAGTGTTCAGAGGAAGCCTTCACGCATGAAGATTATGGAGTAGGGACCTTCTTCGATATCGAGGGGGCCTTCAACAATGTCACTCCAGAGGCAATAGTAAATGTTTTTATAGGGCACTTTAAAACACGTTACCTCTCAGGGGCTAGTGATGGGGGTTCTGACAGGCTATTGCGCGATTGGTATTCATGCGGTGAGACCAGGAATTTCAACTGATTCTTTTGTATCAGCTTCCAAGAGGAAGATGAAATGGAATCATCTCCACACTTTCTTTTAGACTGCCCAACCATCGCGAGGCTAAGTTGGAAACATTTTGGCTCGCACTCCTGAACAAACACTGAGCTCTCAGAGGTCGAAATTAGCCGCATTCGAAATTCCGTAATCGGCTCGCGG